CTGGCTGGATTTCTTTGAGAGCAACTTCCACTTTACAATCGCGTACAAATGTGGGGTGAATAATATCGCCGACGCACTGACACGACCGTCCGCCCACCTCGCCTCTGTCATCATTGCACAATCCAACCCACTGCTCACCGGACTATTTACCCACGCATACACTACCGACCCCTTTTTTACCAGCAACCTCCACCAACAAGCCACCACAGCTAAGGGAAGTTATTTCCTAAAAGTCGGTACTGACCGAATCTGGGTTCCAGCTTATTGACTCCTCCGCGAATTACTGATTCAAGAAGTCCATAATTCTAACCTCTCCGGTCATTTTGGGGTTGACAAAACCAAGAAATTACTTCACCGTTTTTTTTTTTTTGCCAGATTCGACGTCTGATGTGCAGAGATACGTCTCGGGCGTGCCTGATCTGCCAACGCATGAAGTCCTCTCGACAACGGCCAGCTGGACTACTGCAACCGCTCGAGCCACCCCAGAAGCCGTGGCAGCACGTGATAATGGAATTCGTCATAGGACTTCCAGCCAGCGCAAGTGACAATGACGCCGTCCTCGTCGTTGTCGATCACCTGACGAAAATGGCGCATTTCGCACCATGTCGCACGCCAATCACAACCGAAGAAACAACCAAATTGTTCATCTCAACCGTTGTTCGTCTCCACAGCCTACCATCGGCGATCATCAGCGACCGCGACCCCAAGTTAACGTCCAAGTTCTGGCAAGAGACATGGGAACATTCTGGCACCCGCCTACAATTTTCGTCCGCCTACCACCCGCAAACAAACTGCAAACCGAACGCACCAATCAGACTATGGAGAAGATGATACGCACCAACTGCCCCGACCCTACCCGGTGGGAAGAATTCCTGCCCATGCTGGAATTTTCCTACAACAACGCCCCATCAGCAATGACTCATCACTCGCCCTTCTTCCTCAACTACGGGATGGATCCCACCGTACCCATGACGACCAGCATTGAAAATCCTGTGCCCCGCTCCCAACAGTTTGTTAATGACCTACAAACCGCTTGTGACAAAGCGATCGAGTTTATTCGCAAATCCAACAGCACAGTCCGACGCTGCATTGACCTTCATCGCCGAGATATTACAATGGCCACTGGGCAACTAGTCCTCGACACGAAGAGCCTCCTCCTGCCCCTGCCATCAAAACTACGCCGAAGATTTTGTGGACCTTTCCGCATCCTCAAGATGGTGACCACTGGCACGGCGAAATTATTATTCCCGGACAAGTGTCGCATTCAAGACGCATTCCATGTCAGCCTCCTCCGTCCCTACGTTGCCAGCACGTCAGCAATCGCACGACCAACGTGTCAAAAACAAGTAAATAGCCTAATTAGGCATGAGACATGTCATGGTTTTAGCTAGGGAGAAAAGTTGATGAGAGAAAATGGGTTGGATTAGGAAGAGAGAAAGATACAAGAGGGAGGGTTATATGCTCTATAGTAGGATCCAAAATCTGTAGAAGACCTACCAAGCCTACATAAATTTATAAATTAAAAAAATATATATAATTTTGAAGCAGTTGACCCAAATTGCATAAATTTTGTTTCAAGTTTATTAAGCTTGAACCCTCCCTTCTGGTAACCCAGTTCCGCAAAGCGAGAAGAAAAACTAAAATCGCGCACCAAAACGGCGGGAAACAGTTGACACGCGTGCGCCACCCCAGAGGCGTTTGAGCGGAAAGAAACTTGAAACATGCGCTCATACATTTTGGGAAATTCGAAGTGCAACCAAGCCCAGTGCCATTACGCCTGAGGGCGTGGTACTTATGCAAAAACTCGGTCAAGTTGAGCAGCTCATGAATCGCAGTTTGCTTAGTGCCTAACGGTAGCGAATGGTTTGTTACCAGGTTCCTGGCACCAAATCTTTTTTCGTGTTTTGATTTGCATGTTTCGCGCAAAGAGGCGCGAAAACATCAATGTTCTTTACAACAATTGACACACATGCGCCATCCCACTGCAAAGTTTTTTGCCGGAAATCGCCGAAGCATATTACTACGCGGGTTGTGCAACAGGGTCAAGTTGCACAACCCACATCTTGCCGAAGCCACCACGTCCTTACGTGTCTTGCCTTCCTGCTGTTCGCTGTTCATCGCCCCTCCTCCCCTCCCCCCCCCCCCCTCCCAACTTCCCGCGCCTAGCGCGCCCCTCCTTTCCCTTTTCCGTCCCACCCCTCCCGATCTGTCCTTTATTGGCGGTGGTTTTGCTTGCTCAGTTTTTTTGCGCCCTGATTGGTTTATGAGGTTTCGTCAAGAGTGTTTTTGTCGCGCATGGTGTTGCGACGTTCGCTCATTGGCGAAGTACACTCTCCACCCCGCACCACTGCTCTACGCCCCTGCACGCTGCCATGCCCATCTTTTTGCCCCTATCATGTTTATTAATCTTGCACGTTTTGGGTCACCGGCTGTAACACACCCCCTAGGCTTGGTACTCGTAAGCCCACCCAACACGCAACACCCCCAAGCCCGTGCACCCCCATGCCCTGCAGCAGGTGTGGCTTCGACCCCTCGTGCGAAGCGGCGACAGCGGCGGCGGGTGGCAGCAACGGCGTCAGCGGCGGCTTCTACGACGACGACAACAGCGGCGGCTTCGACGACGGTGGCGGCGACTTGCGAAGCTCGCGGCACCCGGCGTTGTGGCACGGCCCGGCGACGACCGAGCATTAAGTCAGCAGCTACGGTTGGGGGGGGGAGGGGGGGGGGGGGGGGGGGGGTGCAGCAAGGCGCCCCCGCTGGCGCACTGGCTGGCGTGCTAGCGTCATGGCTGGCGCCTAAACCGGTGCGCGGCCCGCTGACGCCCGTGCGCTGACGCGTCGACGCCGCCACGGTGGCACGACGAAGCCGCCACGGTGTGGCGTCGATGCCATGGCAGCACGTCGAGGCTGCCACGGCAGCACAACGACGCCGCCACGACGTGGCGTCGACACCACGGCAGCGCGTCGAGGCTGCCACAGCAGCACGACGAAGCCACCATGGCAGCTGGACATGGCCGCCACGGCGGCGCGAAAGTGACGGGAGGGGGGAGAGTACGCTGCGGAAGCGTGATGAGACGGCCCAGCAAGACGGACCTCCTGCTCTGAAACCATGTCAAAAACGAGTTAGGAGCGTAAGTAGGCATGAGACATGTCGAGGTTTTAGCTAGGGAGAAAAGTTGATGAGAGAAAAGGGGTTGGACTAGGAAGAGAGAGAGAGACACAAGAGGGAGGGTTATACCATCTACAATAGGATCCACAATCTGTAGAAGACCTACCAAGCCGTTGCAGCCGCTGCCCTCGCTGTCGACGTCGCCGCCTCACACGCCGAGGGGTTGACCATGCTGGAGTAGCCGTCGCTGCTGCTGAGTATGGGGGTGCTAGGCTTAGGGGGTGTGTGGCTTAGTGTGTTGTGTGTGTGGTGTTCTTTCGGCTACCAAGCTTAAGGGGTGTGTTGAAGTACATATTATATATATATGATTGTAGGCTTGGTAGGTGTTACTGGATCCTACTGTAGAGGGTACAACCCCCCTTCTTGTATCCCTATCTCTTCTAGTCCAAGCCCTCTTCTCTCTCTATATTTTTCTCCCACCTAAAACCTCGCGCCATTTCCATGGCTTCCCTAGCTACCTAGCTACTTTAACACGTACAAGCGAAGACGACACGTGGGTGACTTCCGACTCGCTTTAGGAACACTCGGCGCTCAAATCATATTTGACCCGAAAAGGTGTTTCCGATATTGACCACCTTCCTTAAGAGGGGCGGTAGTGTAAGGAATTTGATTCCTTACCGGGTTGTACTGCAATTGCGTACACCCGAACTCTCGGAAGACCAAGCTGGCTCGGTCCAATTCCAACGCAACCCCGAGGCTGGCTCGCGCCGCCACTGGCCCTTTCGACCGCGCATGTACCCAACCTAGCCCTCCGGGCTCATTGCCTAGCTAGAGTTCTCGCTATATAATTCTAGGTTCCCATTCTTGTACTCGTCATTATTATTCCGCGCACTCTTAGTTATTGTTAATAACATGGCATTTTGCTCTGTTACATTTTGTTCCACAATTGCTGCTGTTACAACCAAGCGCATCCAAGATTTGTGCTGATTTTATCACCGGTTAGCCCCAAAATTGCGGGTAGCATTATGGTGCACTGTTGTGAATTTGTGGTATAAGATCAGACGGAAAGTGGAAAACAGTTTTTTTTTTCTGAGTTAATTTGTCTGCGCTGCTAAGGGCTGTAGCTGCGAGCAGACATTGATGATCACACGAGCAATAAATAGCGACAGGGAGGAAAAAAGGGGGCACGAGAAAATGGGCCTCAGAAAGTATTAATGGGGTACGGAACTGTGAAAATAGTGCCCCACCCCCCCCACACTACACACAGTCACTAGCGTACGTACTGTACCCTAGCGGGCCCACCGAACAAGAAACTGTCCCGCTGCTCGCAGCGATGGCGACACAAACGTTTCCCATCGTGCGTTTGCGCTCCACCAGCCTCCATGGCAGCCTTCGCTAGTTCTGGAATCTGCAACCCGCTGTAATTCACTCGATCTGCTTGGACTGTACCATCACTTGCTCGTCCAAGTGGTCCTTTTCGAAACCAGCGTGGACCTTGTGATTAGATGTGAGCAGTTCACACACGTGATGGCTGCAGCGAGAAGCACCTTTCGAACCTTCGCTACAGAATCTGTGGATTCGGCAATCGGAAGTGAATGGTCAGGTGGCATCGAGAGATCAACGGATTTATCCCCGTCCTCGTCAGATTGCTGTCCTTTCACAACCGCGTTCTGCTTCGCGTTACTGCACAGCAGGCCCCCTAGCGTTGATTTAGCAGCAGATGTTTCGTTATAAGCTCTTGAGGCTAGCTAGATGCTACGTCCGAACAAGCCACCCCAGCCAGACACAGAACCTTCCGTAGCCTTCCGTATCTCTTCGGAATGCGGAAGCGCAGCGCACGCGTCGTAGCTACCCACCTCTCATTAGGTACGAATCAGATCAGATCGTATGACGGGCGATGTACAACACCAGCCACTAGAGCCTTGCCTTCGCAGGTCACTGCGAAGCGAGGCGGTTCGGTGATCGACGCTCCGCCGCAAGCGATAGGGACCAGGCATTTCCGACAAGTACATATCATAATAATGTTCGGATCGGAAAAGCCCTCAGCGTCCTTTCATAGACCCCTCACAGAAGAGCGGCTTCTCGTTCGGCCTGTTTTTTATCACTCGGCATGCATCATTCGAATTTACCATTTCCGAAGAAAGCTTCTTGCAAACACCGCACCGCCTGCCATTCTCGCAGCCTGATCTTCCGAACGCTTTATTCGTAGGTGTGAAGGCCGAGTCCGTCATTCGACGCCTGGAAGTGCCCCCGGAATCCTGGCTTTTGTCAGGACCTGACGTTTCTCGCGGGCTGAGATCATGGAGATTTGCGGAAACACTGGCGCTCTCCGCTCGGCGCGCAAGAGAGCGCGGGACCAGGATGAGCGGCGACAGGGGGGAGCTTCAAGCGCCGCGAAATGCGGCGCAGCGCACGCTAAGATCGAGTTTGCAGAAAGGTGAGCTACCCCTAGGACGCGCTTCTGAGAAGGGATGGGCGGGAAGGAGAGGGAGGAGAGGGGGAGTGGGGAAGGGGGGATGGAGGGTTGTAAAAGCTAGGGTTTCTACTCCCTTCGTGAGTCAAGAGGGTGTGCTGTAGGGCGTATTTCAATGCGTTCTTGTGACACAAACACCCCTTCGGAATCCCCGTCTCACCTGTGATGTCTACTTATCCGTTGGATCCCTATCTCCTGTGCAGATGCGACGAGCACAGCGTCGACAGCTTCAAGGACTCGAAAATGCAACATCATCACGAGCCTCCCAGTGGCGGCAGGCCGACAAGCGGCAGCCACGATAACCACGGGCCTGATATGCTTGAAGATCGGCCCGAGGGGCGGCGGCAGCAGCGGTGCGGCGCAGGGCCCGCGGCGGGGTGTAAGAAGGTGCGCATGGTGCGGTATCCGTACAAGCCGCTGCTGCCGCGCGACGGGTTCAGCTGGGTGAAGTACGGGCAGAAGAAACTCACCACTGGCGACAACATGATCAGGTACTGCCCTGCGCTCAACAATGCGGCTATCATGATTCATGAGCGGATGATAATGGCATCTCTGCGCCTCCCTGCTCGTGCATCCCAAAAAATGTTTGGTCCGTATACTATGTTCAAACATGTTATACAACATTGCAAGTACAATGTAGCATAACATGTTTAGACGTAGTACGGGGTCTTCGAATGTTTGGGATGTGGTTGCACTTTCCGTATAGACTGTACGCCTCCCCAAAGATTCTCGCCTTGACCCCTGGAAGCAAACTCATGTGAGCTACTTTTATTCTTGCCCCCCTTGCTGTGCCCGCCCCTGTGTGCGCCAGGCTTTACTTCCAGTGTGGCCTGCGCGCCTCCCACGCGTGCCCTGCCCGCCGCACGGTGGACCTAAGCTGCCACGACCCAGCCGCGCCCAAGCTGCTCAACTACTTCTGCTCGCACAACCACGAGCCCCACTACGACGTCTCCGCTGAGTCCGCCGCCCTCGCACCGTCCCCCAACGACAAGCACTCCACTGTGACTGCCGCGGCCAGCAGCAGCCCGAGCAAAAGGGCGCTGCTCACCCGTAAACTGGGTCCAACGGTGCCGGATGCACCTGCTGGGAAGAGCCCGGGTGCCGCTGGGAAGAGCCCGGGTGCAGCTGGTTCACCCCATGCCGGTGGCTCCGCTTCCCCCGCCTCGCCATCGTCACAGTGCCTGCCAGGCTTCGCCCCCAGTGCGATCACCTGGGGCATGCTGGAGGTTCCGTCGATCTCCCCGCTCCCCTCCCCCTCTTCCAATGCACCGTCCCTGAACGCCCCGGCATCCCCTGCTGCAGATTACCTGGCTGCGCTGGCAGCGCTGCTGCTTGGGTTGGCTGCGCCCGGTGCTGCTCCCGCTCATGCTGCTACGTCTCCTCCTCACCGCACGCCCACTGCGGTGGCTCCCTCAGGGAGTGATGCGGCCACTGCTGCTCCCTCGGGCTCATCCCACGTGCCACCATCGCCAGCTGCAGTGCTCGCAGCTCTTTCCCTGCTGGTGCAGTCAGCAATGGCGGATGGCGGAGGGCTCTTGGGGACAATGAGTCCTTTGCCAGCTGAAGGCAGCCCGCTGCAGCAGCAGCAGGAGCCCCAGGAGCTGCCAGACTCGCGTTTTCAGCTGCAAGCGGCGCCGGTGACGTCAATCTTTCTGGATCTCACCGAGTGCCCTCAGCAGCTGACCCCCGGCAGCACTGCTGCTGCAGACTCGCATTTGGTTGACTGGACTCAGTCTGTTGACACAGGAGCAGACCTGCTTGGCACTACCCTGGATTGGCCCAGCAATTCATGGGTGGATGCCAGTGAGCCTCTCTCCCTCGATGCAGCGCCAACGAAGGATGACACAGTGAGCCAGCAGCAGCTGGTGATTTGCGAGGATGAGTGTGGAGCGATTCAAGTCGTTGCGCGCCCTGTCTGCGGACCTTCAAAAGGCTTCCAATGTTTTTCCAAGGAGCCAGTGGATGCAAGTGAAACCGTCGAGCGTGGTTTTCTGGCTTCTCGTGGATCTAGACTTTCAGTAGGAAGCTCTGGACGGTCTGTCGATGCGTTGGCAGATATAGTGCCGTCTTGGAGCCCGTCATCTGAAGGAGATGGATATACCTCTAGGCCTCTATCAAGCATTTTTGATAACTTAGGGACGCTTTGCGAGGGTGAGAGCTGGTGATTCCTGTTATTATTTTATCCTTTCTCCCAAAAGGGCATAAAGGAAAGTTGTACTGTATTTGCCTGTGTTGGAACACAACTTTTTCCTAAAATGTTCTTTTTTCAAGTGTATTTTCATATTCCGCATGGTTTAATGACTCCATTCCTTATTGAATCGTATGTTAACGTGTACACCCGAACTCCTCGACTCGTCATGTTCGGCCTCATTTGTCGGCCCAACCCTTTCCCGAGTCGCGTCCGGTACTGTCGGCACATTGCCGAACCTACCCATGTTCCAAGGTTATCGCCAGGGTCGACGTTTCAAAAAAAGGCACTCTGAGCTAACCAGGACTGGCGTTAAAAAAAAAAAACCACCCTAAGCTGTCGACTAGAAAAAAAAATTACCCTGAGGGCTCTATTTTGGAAAAATCCCTACCCTGATCTGTCAGTGTTCAGGAACCCGAAACCCTGAAATTCCCAGGGTTCACAGAACACAATCAGGGTCGAATTCAAGACCGGTCGAGAATTTCCTAAAATTCGAATTCCCACCAAACACTTCAAATCACGTGTTTTTATGGCCTCAGCTTTTGCCCCCGCCCAAACTCGTCGCCCTCCCCAAAACCCTCCCCCAAATCCCACCCCACACCTCTCAAAGCCCGGTACATTCGGGAGCTGCCTTGGTGTACATTCGGAAAAAAAAACTAGCTCAGGCCCTGGTGTACTGTCTCTGGAAGAACATTCGATTGCTGGAGACGTGTCAGCAGGTGGTGTCAGGTCGCGCAAATCTGAGCCGTTAATGACTGACCAATGATGAACAGCTGAGAAACGTCGAAACGATCGCGTTCGATCGTGACCGTCAAAGTGTGGTGGATTTTTTGGGGGAACTGGGGGCCTGGGGGAAATTCCGAAATGAACCAATGCTGCTAGAAAAAAACAGTTGTCTCTCTCCTGACTAGTGGCAGAATCTTTGTCATGATTGGCCATTGTATGTAGTACCCTTGTAAAATACCCTGATAACTTCAGCTGTCGAATTTCGAATCGAGCTGAAACAAAACACACAAAAAATGTGAAAGACTTCTCTGCTTGTTCGCCAAATCAGCGTTTTTTTTTCGTATAGGACCCTAGTGGAAAATCGAGCTTTGCCTATGCAACACTGATGAATCTGCGATTTTTTTTTATCACGGTGATGGAGACTTTTTTTTTTTTTTTTTTTTTTTTTTTATCACGACACTGAGCAATCAGGGTACCGTAAAACCAATCGTGGGGGATGTCTATTTATGATTTCCCAGACGAAGTGAAAATCGGGCAGCTCACAGCTTGAGGGGGGGAAGTTGAAAGGAGGGGAGGGGGGATTTGAAATCGAGGGGGAAGGGGGTGGGATTTCAAAACCCGAGGGGAGCGGAGAAACGAAACGGAGGGGGCACGAGGATCAAAACGGAGGTGAGGGGGGGGATCAACATCGAGGGGAATGTCTGCGGGAGGGAGGGGGAATGTCTGTCTGTACACGAGGACTTAGACAATTTTTGTTGAGGAGGGTGATACTCTGGCTACTAGGACTTTGCCGATTATTTGTGGGTTGTTGCGGGTGTAGGGGGAATGTCTGTACCACATGATTTAGACGATATTTGTCGATTTTTGTGGGGTGTGTAGGGGGAATGTCTGTACAATTAGGACTTGGCCATTTTTCTAGATTGCTGTTGTCAACTTATATATACAGTATGCTGTATGTAGAAGTTATAGGCGAGCCTAGGTGTGTGCTTCTAGTGAGTACAATCCCAACACGTACATGTTCTAGGTTTCTCACACTAGTCCAGTCATTCTCTCTTTCTAACATGGTATCATGAGTAGGTTCGGTTCCTCTCGCCCGCCCACGCTTCCGCCCTAGGCCCTAGCCGCCCTCGTGACCCGTCCCTAGCTGGCCCCCTCTCCCCTGGTGATCCCGTCCGCCCCTAGCCGCCCCCCTGGCCGTTGCGTCCGCCCCTAGCCGGCCCCCTGGCCGTCGCGTCCGCCCCTAGCCGGCCCCCCTGGCTGTCACGCCCGCCCCTAGCTGGCACCCTGGCCGTCGCGTCCGCCCCTAGCCAGCCCCCTGGCCGTCGCGTCCGCCCCTAGCCGGCCCCCTGGCCATCGCGCACGCCCTTAGCCGGCCCCCTGGCCGTCGCGTCCGCCCCTAGCAGGCCCCCTGGCCGTCGCGTCCGCCCCTAGCCGGCCCCCTGGCCGTCGCGTCCGCCCCTAGCCGGCCCCCTGGCCGTCGCGTCTGCCCCTAGCCGGCCCCCTGGCCGTCGCGTCCGCCCCTAGCTGGCCCCCTGGCCGTTGCGTCCGCCCCTAGCCGGCCCCCTGGCCGTCGCGTCCGCCCCTAGCCGGCCCCCTGGCCGTGGCGCCCGCCCTTAGCTGGCCCCCTGGCCGTCGCGCCCGCCCTTAGCTGGCCCCCTGGTCGTCGCGTCCGCCCCTAGCCGGCCCCCTGGCCGTCGTGCCCGCCCCTAGCTGGCCCCTTGGCCGTCGCGTCCGCCCCTAGCCGGCCCCCTGGCCGTCGCGTCCGCCCATAGCCGGCCCCCTGGCCGTCGCGCCCGCCCTTAGCTGGCCCCCTGGTCGTCGCGTCCGCCCCTAACCGAGCCCCTGGCCGTCGCGTCCGCCCCTAGCCGCCCCCCTGGCCGTCGCGCCCGCCCCTAGCCGGCCCCCTGGCTGTCGCGCCCGCCCCTAGCCGGCCCCCTGGCCGTCGCGCCCGCCCCTTGCTGGCCCCCTGGCCGTTGCGTCCGCCCTTAGTCGGCCCTCTGGCCATTCGCGCCCGCTCCTAGCCGGCCCCCTGGCCGTCGCGCCCGCTCCTAGCTGGCCCCCTGGCCGTTCTTGCCCGCTCCTAGCCGGCCCCTCCTAGCGCCCGCCCGGCCCCTGCTAGCGCCCGCCCGGCCTGTTGCGCCCGCCCGTCCCACACCGCCCGCCCGGCCTCACCCAGCGCCTGCCCGGCCCCGATACGCCTGCCCGGCTCCTGCGGCCCGCAGCTCCCAGTGCCTGCCCGGCTCCTGCGGCTCCGTGTCTTCTGCTCGGCACGGTTCCTCGGGTCTCCGGCCTCGTGTCTTCTGCTTGCCAGCGCTAGAGCGTCCTGCAAACGTCCCCCTGGGGCTGTGCTGCTGTGTCCCTGTGTCACTGTGTCGTGTGGAGCTGTGCCGCTGTGTCCCTGTGTCGCTGACCCTGCACGATGGCTGACTTCGTACTCCGCCTGGACGCTGAGGGCCATGCGGTTGACTTCGCCGCCTGGCTATCCGATCTCCGCCGTCAACTCACAGGTCAGCGCCAGGATGGGCACTCCTTGGTTCTCCATACTGATGGCTTGCTCCCCCTGCCCCCTGCGCCTGCTCCCCTCCCTGCTGACCCCACCTCTGGTGAGCGTGAGACTTTCTATGCTGCTGCACTTGCCTGTGCCGTCTGGGACTCTCGCGATGCAGTTGCTCAGGTCGCTATCAGTCACGCCCTCCCTGTGTCTGAGCGTTCGTGTTTTGCTACAGTTTAGGGTTTAGGGCCTTAGCCAGGCGGTTGAACTGTCCCTTCTGCGTCACATGTTTCAGCACGATCTTGTCTTAGGCCTCCCCGAGTCGCTCCCCGCACTTCCCCCCTCGACTGCGCCACCGTGCACGCCTTGCGTGGAGGGCTGGCTCCGCCGTGCCCCTCACTCCTCCTCGCTTCGCCCTGCTACTGCTCCCCTTCACACCCTGCACCTGGACGTTTGGGGCCCAGCCCCCATCCCCGGACAGCACTGTGAGCGCTACTTTCTTGTGCTCGTCGACGACTACCCGCGCTACACCACGGTGTTTCCCCTGGAGCGGAAGGCCGACGTGCCCGACGTTCTTCTCCTGTGGGTTGTGGCTGCGCGTCTTCACCGCGGTCTCCCCGTGTTGTGTCTCCACTCTGACCGTGGCGGCGAGTTCGCCTCTGGTCGACTTGGACAGTTCTATCGTGCGGAGGGCATCACCCAGTCGTACACATTGCCGGACTCGCCACAGTTGAGTGGGGCTGCTGAGCGCCGCATCGGCTTGGTCATGGAGGTTGCTCGTACCTCCATGTTCCATGCCGATGCCCCCCATTTTCTGTGGCCGTTCGCTGTCCGCTACGCTGCTCACCAGCTTAACCTGTGGCCACGCTCCCAGCGGCCGCAGGTTTCGCCGACCCTCTTTTGGACCGGGTCCCCCAGTGACGCGTCTGCGTTCCACGTCTGGGGTTACCTTGCTCACGTTCGTGCCTCTGGCACGGACAAGCTCACTGTCCGCACTGTCCCCTATGTCTTCCTCGGTTTCCCCCTGGACTCGTCTGACTGGCTGTTCTACCACCCGCAGTCTCACCGCTTCCTTCACTCTCGTGACGTCACCTTTGACAAGTCTGTCTCCTTCTACCGTCACTTCCCTCACCGAGGTCTCCTGGTTCCCCCCCCCTTGTTCCTGGCTCCCTCTCTCCCAGTAGCCCCTGCTCCCCTCCTGCCTCGTCCTGCCCCGTCTGGTGTCTCCCATGTCACTCCCCTCCCGTCGGTTGTCCCCGTTGAGGAGTCTGCTGAATCTGGTGGTCCCCCCGGCCCGTCCTTGACGCGTCCCCCTTCCCCGGTGTCTCCGCCTCCGCTGTCGCACCCGCCGTCGCCGCCGTCACAGCCGCCGCCGCCGCCGTCGCCGCCGCTGTCGCCGCTGCCGCTCTTGGCCTCTGGGGGTGCTGGCGTTGAGGAGGGTGTTCGTCCTGCGGCCCCTGGCATGGTCTGTCCCGGCGGGCCTGGGGGTGCCGCCGGTGCTGGAGGGGGTTCTCGCTATGGGGGTGTTGGTTCTGGGGGTGCTGCTGTTGAGTGTTCTCCCAGCGGCCGTCGTGCCCCTACCGGTCCGCGGGTCGAGCACCAGCCCCCGCACGAGCCGCCGCAGCCGTCGCCGCCGGTCTCTGCTCTTCGCCTGCTCGGCCTTCCCTCCCCCGACCGCTCTCCAGTGTCTCCCCCACCACCTTCTCACCTTCCTGTCTCCGGCCCTGTGTTCCCACCGCCGAACTCGTCTCCGGCCCATCTTCCTCCTCGTTCCTCTTTTGTGTCCCCTCCGCTGTCTCCTGATCCTACACCTCCGTCCCACGTATGGTCTCGCCGTCCCTCACGTGCT